AGGCGGAACTAGCGACTGACTTCCGAAAACAAGAGTGTAAACATTGCTGAAGAACTTCCGCTATAGTTCGCCAGCATTGTTCTTTCTTTGTTCTGTCATGGTAGTCCCTCGATGACACATCATACAGGCAGGGGTACTGTTGCCACAGCTCCACGAACCTTTCCTCCATCTCATAATTCCACCTAGCAGCACCATCACCTCTTTTTCGTTTCACATGTTTGAAACCTGTGTATGAAAGAGCTTCTGTGCTGCTATTGGTCAATGTCACCAATGTGACAGAACTCGTCGTGGACGACGGAAAAAAAATCAAACATGCTAGTCTTTCTGTCGTGATGTCGTGAAGTGTCGCAGACGCGGAATCGGTTGTCGTCCACTATGACACACTACATGTGCTGAAACGATGGAATCTTGCGTCCCGACGCCCATTGTCGTTTACGAATCCCCACAACACCCTACGTCAAGCAAATCGTAACAAAATCGGGCTAAAATAGTGTAGTCTGAACAGGGTATTAGTTTCACATTGAAATGTCAGGCATGAGTTCATGAATCTTTGTTCTTTATTTTCAAATGCTGTACAAGAAAGTTTTTTTTTGCAGTACCATGTCAATTGTAGATGCAGATCATTTAGCATGAATTAGTGGTTAGTAATTTAACTTAAAGGGTTAGTGACACTTATTATGTGACAATTATTAACACTAATGAAGATCCTTTTTAATGAAATCTGACAGCTATACCTTAAAGGGGTCATATGATGCTATTTTAAAGATCATTATTTTGTGTATTTGGTGTAACAAGAGAAAGGAAAACTTGAAATCGCATCATATGACCCCTTTAATGGACCTTGAAACGGTAGTTGTAGGCCGTCAATGGAGGGACAGAAAGCATAGATATTTCATTAAAAATACTCTTCATTTGTGTTCCAAAGATGAATGAAAATCATATGGATTTGGAACGGTATGAGGGTGAGTAACTGATGACAGAATTCATATTTTTGGGTGAACTGTCCTTTTAAATAATATTGTGTTCTCTTGTATGAAAATGGTGTCAACACTGGAACATTTCACTTGACTATTGACTATAAGTCTATAGCAGTTGTTATTAATGACAGCCCTGTGTTTGTATAATTTTTTTCCCATGTATTTGAAAATGTTTTGAATCTTGACTGTTTCACAGTGAAGTTTATCCTTGTGACCACTATTTGGTGCAACACCAATATCGTACAAGTACCTGCTCATGGTTTCTTTTTTCTGCCTGTTGCGGTTTACAACTAAAAAAAGTGTTCCACAATACAAGCATTTTCAATGGTGCTTTACAGATTATTAAATTAATTGATGTCATAATATTTTTGTCTTCACCCATTTAAGGCAAATAAAAGCTACTGAACGCACTTTTATGAATGTTTACATGAGGTAAAAATAAACCATGTTCAATTTGTATATATTGTGCTGGATTTATTTGTTACTAAAGATAGGCCTATGCTATAATTTTTTTAGAAATTTCTGCATAACGGATTGTCCGTTTATGGTACAGAAGAAAATGTAAATCTACAGAATTTTCCGTTTTAATGTTGAAGGACATGTCCGTAAATTTAACAGAAAATGTCCTGGTAATTTTCTGCCAGTACATTATTCGTTTTTTTTACGGATTTTTTTTTTTACAGTGTGCTGTAAACTTCAATTCATTATGTTTTTCCACACGAAGAGCATTTAACAGCGAGAGAACAGTAGTGGAAGAGCTGGAGGGGTGCTAACACAACCCCACTGCTGCTCTATTAATGCACCTTATGTAACCCATCTGAATGCCAGTGTCCCTGTGTCTTTCCCAGACAACTTCTGCTTAGAGTCACTGCATTCACCACAAAATGGAGCCAAGTGACCGTAAAAAACGAGCGAACATCAGAAACATGTTCATTGATTGCCTTACATTTATTTGTCCTCATGCACACAAGAGCCCCATAGGATGAGTCATTGAATTTGCTGAGGTTCCCATCAACACCCCGGGCTTGTGGTTGCCATGGCTACATGGCCCGTCCCTGGAGAGTCATAATGTCAGTATAACACAACTGTAAATGTATTTCCCAGCTATACTGAACACACAATACAAGTAAATGAGTTCTGAGCTCTAAATATATCTATTATTTATGGGCATTTTTCTTTATGGAATAGCAAAGTACAGAATAACAGGAGAGTATTGAGGGAAAGAGATAGGAATGTGATCGGGTATCTCATAAGAAATGCATAAAAAAAAGAAAAGAAAAAAAAGGAATGCTTCGATTGTGACTGGAGGTTTTGTGAACCAGTTCAACCATTATTGTAAGAACTTTGTGCCCTTCGCATGAAAATGTAAATATCCATGTTCTTTGTTTTAGATCGGGGTCACCAAACTCGGTCCTGGAGGGCCAGAGTCCTGCAGAGTTTAGCTCTAACTTGCCTCAAAACACCTGCCTGGAAGTTTCTAGTATACCTAGTTGGACCTTGATTAGCTAGTTCAGGTTTGTTTAACTGGGGTTAGAGCTAAACTTTGCAGGACACCGGCCCTCCAGGAGCAGGATTGGACACCCCTGTATAGAGCCACGGAGGATGGTATTTCCCAATAATATGATCATCTTGGTTCTCTTTGACATCTAATGTATGGACAAGAAATACAATGGAAGTCAATGGGAACCAAAACTGTTTGACAATCAACATTCTTTAAAAGAAAGAAATTCATAAGGGTGAGTAAATGATAGAATTTCCATTTTTGGGGGGTGAACTATCCCTTTAAGTACACAGTCCTGTACCTTTCTTTTCATCAGATTGTTTTTTCCTTCAACATTTGTATTATTGTCATTTTATGGTTAATGACTTATAACACTTTAACGAAGACATTTTCAAAATCCCTATGGGAAAGATACTTCCGGAACCAAGGCCACTGGAAAAGTGTTGGACTCTATTGACAGATTTACAGAACTGACAACCACGTGACTCCCAAAGGCACAAAAAGAGGACAGGAAATGTGGGAAAACACCGGTTGGACCATGAAATAAAGATGCTTCCCTTGATAAAACTCTGAGACATAATGTTGACACAATCACCCTAGCACACACACAGGACGAGTTCTCCAGCAGACAGTTAAGGGCCTGCTGTAAATACTTCACTTGTGGCTTATCAAAGATGCAAATATATAACTTCAGCGGCTGATTACACTTATATAACAACTGAGGCATCATTTATTAGATTGCATTTGTTTTATTTATTACTTAATAGCATTGTGGGAACTCAGACGCCCGTGCTACCGCACTGCTGTCTAGGTAGGCATCGCACTAGGATTGAGACGCAGCCTGTGAGGCTATTTCCAGCGCTTTATCCGCTTACCTCCGAGCTGCGGGAGCGCAGAGATCTCCGGAGCCGCAGGCCCGCTGCTGCTCGCCGCAAACTGAGACGAGCCCTGACAAATCCTCTGCCTCGGAGCCTTCCTCACCGATTTCCGCGTGAATCCATCCACTTTCTCGGACGCATATATCGCCGACATTTCCAAAGCAGGTCGAGCCACGTTTACAGTGACTGAATGTGCCCTATTTGTTTTCTAGTCTGACTGACGTCCCATTGACTGTGCTGTATATTAAACTCACAAGACCCCATCCAATGACACGCAGTCAACCCACTCATGAAGGCTGCATGTTCTCCAACAATCCACAGGTATCCTGCGATGAGAATTTGGGTACGGATGACTGTAAACACGTAGTTAATAGTATGTTTGTATCATGCCGAGATGTTCAAACAAGCGCGCCTTATTAATCCGGTTACTCCACGTAACACAATTCAAACTCAGCCGACATACAGCGAGTCACAATTATCCAGTCGCTTGGAACAGGCTCCATGTATTGGCGACGCGAGGAAAGAGTTTAAATGTGAATCCGCCCGGCCGCAAAACTCCTCGGATTCGCTGAACTTCATTCAGCTGCTGTTGCGCCTCACTGGAGTCTAAAAATAAATCCCCGTGGCGCGGCTGAGTGACAGAACATTCATCCAATGAGCGCTCGCGCAGACAGTAAGCTCCGCCCCCTGACCAATCAGATTCTTGTTTTAATGGTATTTCGGGAAATATACAAAGCAGAGGTTCGGTATCCTTGAACTCAAATGAACACACAGGCAACAAATGTTCACAAACATTGAACCACTCAAATTAATAAATATACAAGAAAACGTGCACACGTAAGAACTAAATATCAACGAGAACTCACAAAATAACTGCGCTTGAACATAGTTTGCGAGACTTGTAGCCTAGTCAATTGAGTCAGGAACGGGTCATCAATTTCTCAGCCCGTTCCAAACCTATATATGACCCAATTTCTTCTTTGGAACACAAAAACGTTAACTTGACTTGGGCTGTCATTTTACATAACTTTTCATCACAAAGAAGAAAAGCACATGGGTTTGAAATGGCAATTTTCATTTATAGGTTAACAATTCAAATACACAGAATTGCATATTTGATTCAAAATGGGTTATTAGTTAAAACTGAACTCAAATCCAAAAGCAAAACAGTTTTAACCAACCATGCTAAACACCTGAGACAAAAAAACACAAGACAAGAACAAGCAGGATCGAAACATGGAAGCTGGACTATCAGGTCGAGTCACATTCCAGACAAACCTACAAACTTTTAAGAAACAGCCCATGGCATGGAGTCGGTAAAAAGTGTTTAAATCATTTCGAAACTCACTGCATTATAGATATCCAATAACTAAAAAGCACTGACCTAACTGAAAATGGATTTGTTATGTAAAGTGTTGCTTTACAATCAATAAAGAACTCTGAAAATGTGACCGATGTTCATGGCTAGACAAGCTCAAAGGGCATTACAGATTTGGAAAGTCAAAAAAATATTAAAGTACAAACAGTATGCATATAAAATTCACCTAGAAAATGCACATTGAATCGTGTACGAAGCTCAAAACTATTTTCAATGCATCACAGGTAGACGTGGAAGCTTCAGAAAACCTGTAGAGTTTAATTGTGGTGTCAAATGACTTCATCTTGTTTTGTAATGTTTACCAAAATGATCCATTTGACCCTTTTTGAAACTTATTTAAAAACAATTAGATTAAAATATATATACACGTCACATACATAAATACATAAGCTTGGTCTCAAAAAACCAGACCTGAACTTAAACCGCAGATGTGTCATTGATTTGACACACTAATCTCTCGCCACACAATGATCAGTCTTGGGTTCTTTTCACAAAGTAGCTAGAGATTTTTTTCATGGGTCTGGAGGGTGATGCTTTCTTGGTTGGTGGTGGAGAGACAACTCTCATGGGACATGGTGAGACTGCTGCCTTAAGAAGACAAAAAAAAAAAACATAAAACTGATAAACAAAAAAGGAGTTACAAATTTAGAGAACACTTCAGAACAAGAACAAAAGAATAATGGTGTAAAGTAAAAACCACAACACTGAAATATTACAATCATCATGCATCTACTCACTGAAGAGCTGTGTGTTCTTGCATCGTGCCGTTTGCTGCTGCTGCTGCCGCCGTTGGGGCTTTTTGGTTGAGCTGATCCTTTAAATCTCTGGCTGATCACAGAAAGCCAATCAGTCCTCCTCGGAGAGCTGTTCTCTTTGCCAGTGCCAACCTGACGAGCTGAGCTGAGCTGAGCCTCTGTTTGCAAACCAAATAGGTCACCTTTCTCCTCTGGACAGTTCTGTGTGCTCACCGAACTCCTGCTCCTCTTTACGTCAGGATAAAATTCAGACACCCCATAACTCTCCTCTCCCAAACCAGGTCTATCACCCGTTTCCAGTCGTCGCTTTGCTCGGCGTTCAGAGCAGGGGCCCTGGAGGACAGGTGTGAGCACCTTACGAAGAGGGGATGTACCGCGGTGACCGGGGGAACTACTGCAGCTGAATTTGGCCGAAGGTGCAGATGTGTTTGATGGCAGGGGTAAATCAGCACCTGTAGGGGCACAAGCAGCAGGCTGGGGTGAAGCCAGAGAGACAGCCCTCTCTGAGCCAGGACTTTTGGCTGGAGTGACTTCAACAGGGCTGTAAGGGTCTGAGAAGACAAATGGTAGTCATACATAACAATTAAACAAAAACAAGAAATCAATTATGAATTTATAAAAAAAGAATACACTATCAGTCAAAAGTTTAGAATAATTAAGATTTTGTAATATTTTTGAAGCAAGTCTTGTATGTTTCACAAAGGCAGCATTTGATCAAAAATACATTACAACAGTAATAGTGAAATATTATATTTATATATAAAAAAAATAAAAAAAAGTTTTTTTGTGTTTTTCCAGTGATGCAAAGCTACATTTTCAGTATCATTACTCAAATCATTCTAATATGCTGATTTGGTAAACAAGAAACGTTTTGAATTATTAATGTAGAAAACATTTTACCGCTTAATATTTTCATGGAAAATGTGATACACTACCATTTAAATTTTGGGTTAAGTAAGATTTTAAGAAATGAATAATTTATTTGCATTAACATTCATAATTTTACAGAAAAACATCAATTTCAAATAAATGCTGTTCTTTTGAATTTGTTCGAATGATTCACAAAAATATTAAGCAGCAAAAACTCTTCTCAACATAGACAATAATAACCATTATTAATATGAATAATAGATAATAACTGAGCACCAAATATTGCAATTATTTCTGACACTGAAGACTGGAGTAATGATGCGGAAAATTAAGTTTTATACCAATCACAGGTTTAAATTAAAATAGAAAAGAGTTATTTTAAATTAATATTTTACAACATTACTATTTTTGCTGTATTTTTAATCAAATAAATGCAGCCTTGGTGAGAAACTCATTTCAAAATCTTAAAAAAATTAAATGTTAATTATTCCAAACTTTTGACCAGTAGCTCTGAATCTGAAATAAAAAGTTTCATACACGTATATACCAAAAACAAACAAACAATCAAACAAAAAAAAAGACAAAAAGAGAGCCCTACCAGGTGTTCTAGTCGGTGACTGGATTTTACGAAGTGTCCAGCCTACGACGTTTGGATCTCGGTTCAGTGAATTTTCTCCATCTGGTCTGCGGTTCAATCGCCAGATCCTAACAGTGTTGTCATCAGAGCAGGAAGCGATCTGTAAAGAGAGTGATGGATTTGACCATTTTCAACTTTAACGATTTTTGCTGTTGTTGTATTTAAAAGTACCAACCTTGGTGAAATCGGTGGGGCACCAGGCCACTGATGTGACTTCCTGGCTATGGCCTTGAAGCATCATGGGAGCTCGTTTTGGGTCTGAAATCTGGAACAAAAGCAAAGAATGCAGATAGTGACCACTGATGTTCTCAGACAGGTTAGATCTCTAGTTTTCTAGGTTAGTCTTACCTTCCATATATAAGCATGATGATCACTCGAACCACTGGCCAGGAACTGGTCGTCTGGGCTGACACTGGACTTCACATAAAATGAGGAGTTACTGTGACCACTGAAAACAGCAACTGTGAGAGAGAGGGGGAAAAAAACAAAAATATTATACATTACATTAATGCATTAATTCAAAAATAAAAAGAAACATATTTACAATTTACCTGGAGTTGTTTTCAAACCGCTGATGTTGAACATGTACATATTGTCATCTGTGCAGTTGGAGAACAGTCTGGAGCCAGTGGAGTCCAGTGACAGACCAGAATAACCTACAGGGGAAAACATCACAGTGAGAATTAACACTAATTACTAATGCACATTACTATTGGTCTAACGACAGGGTGTGCGTGAGATGTGCACCTAGTTTGCGTGTGCAGGAGCCTGGGTAAGGATAGGCCTGTAGAGGGAGGGGGTTGGGGTGGTATGCAGTGTAGTTCTTCCGCAAATCCCACATTTTAATGATCCTATGAGGAGTTATGGGAAAACTTTCTCTCAGGACATCAGCATTCATCAGGTTGAAAAGTGTGACAGAATGTGGTAACGGCATATATTATTTAGAAAATATATCTGTACATCAATCCATTATGCACTCACCCATCTACTGCTCCTGAAGAGATGAGTTTGCTCTCGTCGCAGAACAAAACCACTGTCACACCCTGCTGGGAGTCCTAAAAAGAGAGAAAAATCTCTGAATCAGTTATAAAAAATAAAAAAATAAATAAAATTAAAAAAAGAACTTCCATAGTTTCTATTTTGTTTAATGAAAAAGCTAAATCAAGGAGCATTCCTACAATATATCAAGGCTGTACCACACCGCAATATATCTTTCAAACAAATGAACGTTTCCTCACAATGAAATGTTCGACTCACCACAGGGGGCGCCATCCCACGTCTCTTCTTTATTTGAGGTGTGTATTTTTCAGGTTTCATATGGGCACACGTGATCTGTTTGACTTGCCTGTAGAAGCCATCTGTGATGGATGAAAACATTTTAGTGAGTTTTAGAAATCATTTTGATGGCCATAAGTTTAAGATTTGGCGGTAAGAAAAATAAAGAACCTTTTTTACTGCATCTTGTATCCCAAATCATTATGTTCCCATCTCTGCCTCCAGTGCTGAAAACAGCTGTATTGACAGAACAAACAGTTTAAAAACACCAATCAATTTTATTTAATATAAAAAAAAACACTGTACAAATACTGTAATACTTCTATTAAGCCTCATTTACTTATTTTTGTCAATTTAGTAATTTTAGTACTTCAACTTATTCAGTTAGTTGTCAAATCAATATTTGAATCTTCTTTCGAGGTTTTTTTTTTTCAGTTCACATGTTTCCATCTAATATTTATATCAACTTATCAATTAAATTATATTGACGTCGCATCTTATTACAATGCAGTCTTAATTCAGTAGTCATGCAAATATTTATTTTGTAATTTTATTCCAAGTTTCTGTAAATATATGTCTTCATTGTTGGCAGTCGGATCAAGTATAGCATCAAGACATGTTTTTACAAATGTTGATTAGATCTTGTTAATGTGTCACACGGGAAATGGAAGGAGAAATTGAGTGCATCGCATTATCAGAGTATCAGTATACCGCACATAACAATAGTAAGCCACTCACACATTTCATGCATAATATATACAGTATATATACTGCACATTAAGAGAGTATCAGAGTTGTAAGCCTTATGTGATCAGTAGATTTACCTCTCTCTTGCTTGGAAAACGCTACAGATTTAAGGCTGCACTGATGTCCTTTAAATGTTCCCAGCAGGTCACCAGTAACAACATCCCACAGACGGGCCGTTTGGTCACCAGACGCTGTTACCTGTAAATGAATATTTCCCTTTAAAAAATATAGAGCGTAGGTCTTCAGCCCTGCTCCTGGGGACCCACTTTCCTGCAGAACTCCAACCCTGATCAAACCAACTAATCAAGGTCTCCAGGACCACTTGGAAAGTCATAGGCCAGGTGTGCTGATACAGGTTGGAAAGAAACTTTGCAGGACAGGGGGTCCCCAGGAGCAGGTTTGTAGACCTATGATATATAAGGGTATATCTAAATATAAGAACTGTGCAAAACTCACCAAGCTGTTTGCACCAGGAACCCAGGCAATATCAAAAACTGCATTATCATGTGCCTGCCACTCTGCAAAACAACAGTTCAACATACATGAATTATTTTCACAGAAATAATAAGTATCCTACAAAAATCACTCTCGAATCTAGGTAAACATAAACCAACCTTTCAGGACAGAACTCTGTTTTTCTCCAGTATTGAAGATGGTCACAAACCCTTCTTCATTTGCAACAGCAAGGCTGTTCTGTTGGCCAGGGGCTGAACAACAAATAAAACACCACTAAGTATTAGGCTTTACGCGGTCTTGGGGTTCTAAGCTACTGAGTACATTTGAACTTAAACGTGTAACTTACCAGAGGAAAATGTGCATCCAAACGGCGGCACAGCAGCAGCTGAGGCTCCGTATCTTTTCTCCAGTATTGAAGATGGTCACAAACCCTTCTTCATTTGCAACAGCAAGGCTGTTCTGTTGGCCTGGGGCTGAACAACAAATAAAACACCACTATTAGGCTTTACGCGGTCTTGGGGTTCTAAGCTACTGAGTACATTTGAACTTAAACGTGTAACTTACCAGAGGAAAATGTGCATCCAAACGGCGGCACAGCAGCAGCTGAGGCTCCGTATGAAATGTGTTCATCCTGTCGACCGCACTGGTATCCGTCCAGCAGAGAGGACAGCGGATAGTCCCGACGCTGACCTGTTTATTAAAGGACTTCGCGTGAAAAAAAAGTCCAATAACATAGATTTCCATCAACATATCTAAATTGTACTCACCATTCCATCTTCTTTTTATAACTCCCCGATCAACAACATGGTGAAAAAGAGTCATAGCTCCTGCTGGGATAGCGGTTTCCTTCAGAAGTGGCCAGCTTCCCGCGAACAATGAAAAAGCGGCGAAGACGAATTCCGCGCGAGATGGACGTTCGCTGTTCTGATTGGTCAATACGTCAGAATACCGGAAGTGTTGAGCCGCAGAGAGTGGAATGGCTGCTGGTTTACAACTGCTTCTATGGAAACTATGTAGGCAGCGTAACACTAGAGGCACTCTGTGGCCCGGAAAGTCAGCTTTAACAGTATACCTTTTTTTTTTATTTTTTTTTTTATTAAACACTTGCTTAGGGAATACAAAAGTGAAGAAGAAGAAGAAGAAGAAGAAGAAGAAGAAGAGGAAGAAGAAGAAGAAGAAGAAAAAAAACATATGCCAAGGAAAAGAGCCAGGGGTTCAAGGATGGCTGAACAATACATAGCAATTAAAATTCAGGAGAGAGAGAGAGAGAGAGAGAGAGAGAGAGAGAGAAAGAGAGAGAGAGAGAAATAACAACAACAACAAACAATTATATTAAAAATAAATAAATAAATAAATAAACGGAAAAAAATTTTTACATATCACATAACAATAAACATAACAATCTTCCCTACAAAACATAAAAATGATACAAAAACACCAAACAGAAAAAGTGAGCATACATTCAAAGTTTTAGTTGCCTTTTTGTTACAGGAGGTAGACCAGGATTTAATATAGATCTTAATATCTTCTTGAAAGTGAGAAAAATGGGGGGTAACTTTCATAATCTTGCATTTGTGAATAAGATATTTTGCAAGAAAAATAATTAGGTCGCAAAAAATGTAAATGTTTTCATGTTGCTTCTCAAAAGTGAAAAATCCAAACAAAACATCTTTAAAGTAAAGATCAAAGTCAATATGCATGAAGATTACAGTAAACTGGCAAGTTTTCTTGCATGAACACAATGCCAAAAAAGACGCAAGACAGTTACTTGAACATTATACCTCTATTGAACATTTTGGTTATGATATAAAATGTCAAAATTACAACACAAAAAGTCAGAAATATAAGATACTATGTCATTGTGAGATTAAAAAGTAGAAATTGTGTCTTATTAAGTCATAATTTTGAGTTAAAAGTATGGCTTATCTCAAAATTTCAAGCTTTTATGTCATACATAATTATGACTTTTGTAAAAAGTCTAATATATGTTCTTTTTAATGTATTTGTAAGAATTAAAATGATTTCTGATGTGAATCACAAAACAACAATAAATATTACTGCCATTTTATTCATTAATTAAAATGTTCCTTATCTGTGAATAACATTAAATAATATTTATTTCATTTTATTTTATTTAAAATAAATAAAATATATATGTATTTTTATACTGTGTAATTCAAGGTTGATGGTAGATGAACAAATAAATAAATACATAAATAAGAGTGTAACAGTATTAAAAAACATAATAAATAAATAATAATAATAATAATAAAAAGTCCGAAGCCCGAAAACAGAGCAAAAAGTTTTATTTTTATTTTTATATTAGCAGAGACTGAGACCAATCAGAGTTGACGCCGACACATAAGCCACGCCCTCTTTGGACAATTGTTCTCGCTTCTAGCGTTCTTTGTAGTTCAACGGAAACCCGACGTAAAGATCCCGGCTTCGTCTGTCACGTGACCTGCACTGCAGCCGGGTCATCCACCGAGTCTTTCTAATCTACCGAATAAAACACTGAATTCAAAAACAGGCTGTCGTTCCGCATCTTTCGCAATCTAACAACAGATGATGTCGCTGTCCGCGGCACGCTCGTTTCTGTCGGAGGCCGCTTATGGCGAGCAGGAGCTGGACGCCAATTCAGCGCTGATGGAGCTCGATAAAGGTGCCTCTTCATAAACACCACACTCTCACACACGTGCGTGATCGTTTACTGCGTGATTGTGTGCTCAGATTCAATTACACATGCCTTATATATTATCTGTTCAGCCCGTTGCACAGTAATTTACACAGTCATTCTCATTTTCTCGCAACTGAAGGTTTAAGGTCTTGTAAACTGGGTGACCAATGTGAAGCCGTGGTCCTTTTCCCCAAACTCTTTCAGAAGTATCCCTTTCCCATCCTCATCAACTCTGCCTTCCTGAAACTGGCAGACATCTTCAGACTTGGGTAATTATGCGCATTAAATAAAAATCCATATCTATTAGCTTTGAGGCTGTCTGTGTGCTGGTATTACCTGGCGCTCTGGAATACTTGCTTCTGATTGGTCAGATGCAGTGGTCAAATATTTCTGAAGAATGCTATTTGTCCAGGACAAGACTATGTAACTGACATCTGGAGATGTGTCCCTCTAAGTTGCGCTTCTGTTCTGTGTTCGTCATGAAATGTACATGCCATTGCATTTGTGTACATGGAATGTATCTGGAATTGAAATGTGTTTAAAGCTTTGTACTGAGTGAAAGGTTCTGAATCTGTATTTTCACCCCTGTCAAATTAGGAACAACTTTCTGCGACTCTGTGTGCTGAAGGTCACGCAGCTGAGCGAGAAACACCTGGAGAAGATTCTGAACGTGGATGAGTTTGTCAAAAGAGTGTTTTCCGTCATCCATAGCAATGATCCTGTTGCCAGAGCAATAACTCTCAGGTACTCTCAGACGCTGGTGTTTTCGGCATGCACTTCCTCAAAATGTTTTATTTTATTTTACAATCGTCATACGTTTCTTTTCAGCTTCTTACTAATATTTTATTTAGATGATGTTATCAATTATTATGTCAAAGACCACACTAGAATATGCTCAGGAATAATAATGTGATCGTACACATTGTCAGCATATATGTTTTTGTGCATTTTGGCAGGATGTTGGGAAGCTTAGCCTCCATTATTCCAGAGAGAAAAAATGCCCATCACAGCATCCGGCAAAGTCTGGACTCTCATGATAATGTTGAAGTAGAGGCGGCTATTTTTGCAGCTGCTAGTTTCTCATCACACTCCAAGTAAGTGTACACTATGACAGCTGTACTGATAGACAGAATGTTTTTGTGCACTGGTGTGGATGCTAATATGGTTATTGTTGTAGTTATCTTTATAGTTATCATTCTTGGTATGAACAAGCCTGGACAGAATAATGGATACGATAGATATATTAAACAATATATAAGTTATCAACAATATATCACCCAGATAATTGTATTTATTTATTTATTTTTAATTGTTATTTATTCATTCATTTATTTATTTTGAGTAAATGAACTGAACACATAATCAGAAATGGTAAATGGTCTGGGAAGTAGCTCTTTTAAGAGTGAGGAATTATAACTCTTACTATGTTATATATTAGTTGCTGTTAAAAAGGGGGGAAATACAAAACATTTAGAAAATATAAAAAATTGAAGGACTGATGGCATAGATAACTGGTAACAAGCAACTTTGTAACCATAGTTATAATTTTAATATATTGTCGAAATAGTGAGTGTTATTTTAGTATCACTGAGATACAATTAGTGTATATATATATATATATATATAGATATATATAGATACATATACAGTTAAAAAGTATGAACATGGTTTAAATATGACTAGCTGTGGAACAAGCAATATTCAGTTAGTTAAAATGCATGAGATTGAAACAGGTTTTATTGATGACAAATATACCTGGTTATTGTGTATCAGTGTTATTTTAGTATTATTGATATACTATTAATATTTTGAATTAATTTAATTTTTATATTTTCTGCTTTCAAGTTTATTTAAAGTTTTAGTAATTTTGTTGTGTTTTTGTCATGTTGTTTTTCAGTGTCTGTATAGTTTTTAATTTATTTTAGTTATCATTTTAATTATTTTAATACATCAAAGTAAAAATAAACTAAAATACAGATACAATAAGTCTTTACTTTTTACAGATTTATTTTAGTTAGTGTTTTTAGTGTTTTATGCACACACACACACACACACACACACACACACACACACACACACACACACACACACACAGGGTGGATAGCACACAGTGGGTATAGAAAAGAATCCTGAAAAGAAAATCTGCTGCCCTCTGAGAAAGTTGTCAATGGGAAGAAAGTTTACCTTCCAACATGACAATGACCCAAAGCACACAGCAAAACAGTGTGAAAACAAGGTGAATGCCCTTGCATGGTCTAGTCAGAGTCCAGACTTAAACCTCACTGAAAATCTGTGGAATGACTTGAAGTCTGCAGTCCACAAATCGTCACCATCAAATTTAACTGAACTTCAGCAGTTCTGCAAAGAAGAGTGGGCAAATATTGCAAAGTCTAGATGTGCAAAGTTAGTAGAGACATATCCCAAGAGACTAAAGGCTGTAATTAAAGCAAAAGGTGGTTCAACAAAATACTGACACAAGGTGATCCTTTTTCCAACTCAGTGATTCTTGTTGGTGTTACATCTTTCACTTATGTTATAAGTTGCACTGAGTAAATAGAGCTGGATAAAACAAAAACTGTCCGTCTTCATTTCAGACTGCACAGCAACAAAGTGTGTTTTTTTTTTATCCAGCTCTATTTACTCA